ATGAGGTTTTTGGGTGGGGGGGGGGGGGAGTTACATTGTCTGCTAATCCCTTGTCAACAGTATGTACACAAGCATTAGCCCACACAGTTTTCTCTGTCCATTATTTTACTGAACATTCAGTTCCGGGAGACACATTGCCTGTCATTCAGCAAAACCTTACCTCCCCCACTCCAAGCTCTGATTGAGTCAAGTAATTTGCTATTATAGGCAGGGAGGAGGAGGAAGCAAATAAATAAAAACCAGTGTAGCTTCTTTTCCGTTGTTAATAACAACTCAGGTCTGAAAAAAAAGCCAGCACTTCCTTCTGCCTTCATAAACAATACAAGATATTTTTCAGTGCACTGCAAGATATTTTTCGGGGCCTTTGTTTTCTAATGCCAAACTCTCCCATATACTCACTAATACAATCACTTTTGTGTGAGTATTTGTGTATATTTGTGTCTATAATATTCCCCATTGATTTAGAAGTGAAAAGGGAACTGGGAAGAGGATGATCCCACCTGTCTTCATCAACTTCCATCCCTGTCTTTATCAGATATAGTTGTCAATAATAAACTCAATCCTACTCTAAGAGTTTTCTGGTAGATGTGCATAAGACTTATGTATCTGTACTGACTTTTCCATTATTTTGACTTCTTATTTAAAATCCAGTTGTGAATCATTAATGTTTGAGATGAGTACCCAATCAATGTGATTTTTTTAAATGTATTTGAATATGTAGATTAATTCAGAACTGGTGGACCAGGAGAAAGTTACGACAAGAGCATGGCTCACACAGAAAAGCAAGCTTCCCACAGTGGGAAAAGGACTACAATCTTCAGCCTATGAATGCTTATGGACTCTTTGATGAATACCTAGAAATGAGTATGAAAATGTTCTGATTTCCCTCTTTTCTGCTAGATTTTAATGGTATTATCTTTTTTGTGTTATCTTTTTGGGTTGTTTTATTTATTTATTTCTTGGAGTGAGAAGTCTGATGTTCTATTCAACAGTCCAGGGTGCTGCTCTATGAAAGTCAAGATGCATTATCACAAGTTAGGTGACTTTCTGAGAACCAAACCAAGGCAACCTTTCTAATAGGGCTTCTTGTGAGGTACCAGACTCATGAAATTCCCTTTCTGCCTAGTTGGCTTTATGAGAGGTGAGTTAGCTTCTAAATTAAAGCCCCAAAATTCTTACTCCTTCAGCTGCACCATATGCTTAGACATCCACTATTTATTCTGATAAAGAAAATTCCTTTGAGGTCTTACTTTCTTACATGGCACATAGCTGTATGATTGAGTATAGTGAAAAGTCATTAGCATTTACTAACTACAATTTATAGGGAAGGTTACTGAGTAGACTACTTTTAAGAAACTCTGCTTTCATTGGAAGCAAAAAGGAACCTTGTCTTACTCAAGTGAGCTGCACATGTAATAAATAGCTGAGTCCTGGTGCAGTTCCACTGAAATTAGAAGGAGTTGTAGGGGATTAGCCACTCTGAGAAGGGTCTAAACTGTTACATCAATATTATCAAAGTCCAGAGACATCCTTTCTGGAGGTGCTGTGCAACATCAGCTTCCATTGATGTAAAAAAAAATGCTAGGCAGATCAGCAAGCCACTCTAAAATACCCAGTTCATCAACATTTTTCTTAAAGGTGATGTGATTGTCTAAGGACTTGGGAAATTCATTTGTTTGTTCTGTGACTGTGGCTGAGGCCTTTCAGGAAAAATAAATGGCTATATTGCTGCCACTATTAGACAATATAAGAAACAAATGTAATAGCTATGTGACAGTTGGGTAGCTTAGCGCTTTGGATAATGTCTTGAAATTAAATATGAAAAACTCTGCAACCTTTGATTTCCCTTCCTAGTTCTTCAGTTTGGATTCACAACCATCTTTGTGGCAGCTTTTCCACTGGCACCACTTCTGGCCTTACTTAACAATATTATTGAAATCCGGCTTGATGCATACAAATTTGTAACACAATGGAGGCGACCATTAGCTTCAAGAGCCAAAGATATAGGTGAGTTTGTGTCTCTTTTTAAAGACAAAATATTGGTAATTGGATGGAACTGCTCACTTAACAATTCAGTGGCATGAAAGGAAGTGTCTTTGATTTCAGGTATCATTCTCATTATAAATAACTAGCAAATGGCCCATCATGGATAATGGGGGGTGGGGTGGAGATGGAGTGCCACCACCCAGCACCCCACGGTGTCACTGCTCCATCTCTGGCCCTATGCACCCTCCACCCCCGCATCCCCTCTGTCCTCCCATCCAGCCCCGTGGGCCCCTCTCTCACCCTCTGCCACTCCCAGTGTGGCCCCACTCCCAGTATGGCCCCACACCCCCTGCTGCTCCAACCCATACCACCACTAGCTCCCAGGAACAGGGGTGGAGGGAAGTTTGCACACGGTGGCGGCCGCTGACACCCAGTGGCCTGCACTGCTGCTGGTCCATGTCCAGCCACATGCAACATCCCTCCCTCTCTCCTCCCCACCACCTTCCCATCTCTGCCAGCTGTTTTCAGGGCTGGGTGGTGGGAGCAGGGAGGGGAGCATGGTGGCAGTGGGGGGGCACTGCCACCGGAACGCCCACATTCCCCATCCCTCTCCCCACTCCCCCTCCCTTCCTCCCATCTCCCCTGCCACCTCCCCCTCCCTGCCAGGGGAGGCGAGCAGGGACAGATCACCACTGCCCATGATCCCTTGCTGCTGCCACTTTCCAGGAGTGGGGGGGAAGCTTGACCCACCATCCCCAACACCAGCACCCCATGCCGCCACCACATCCACGGGGTGTCATGGCCCCCCTCCCACCCTGGCCCTGCTCCTTGGAGGCAGTGGCAGCGTGGGGTGCTGGCCTCACCCCCGCACTCCATCACCTCCATCATGGTGATGCTGTGCCTTGTCAGTCCATCCCTGCCATCCCCTGCATCCCCCTCTGCTGGGGATGGAGCTCTGCCTTGACAGTAGGGGTGAAGCTGGCCAGTGCCACCACTGCCTCCAATAAGCAGAGCTGGGGGGGGTGGGGAGACCACCCCTTGGATGCAGCAGCAAAGCCAGAGCAGAAGGGCGAGGCCAGTCCTGCGCTGCCAGCACCCCGCATTGCCACTGCATCCAAGGAGCAGGGCTGGGGGCATGGCAAGGCCAGCACCACTGGCCTCACAACCCCGCTCTGTCCCCTCCATCTCTGCCGTCATGGCGGCACTCTGCCATGCCAGTCTGTCCCCCTCTGCCTCCAAGGAGCAGGGCTGGGGACGGGAAGCAAGGCCAGTTCTGCTGGCCTTGCCACCCAACTCCAGCCCTTCAGTCCCTGCCGTCATGGTGGCACTCCACCATGTGTCTGTGCAGAACATTCTGATTGGTTGTTTGAGTCAGCATTGTGACTGCCTGCTGAGACAACCAATCAGAGTGCTCATAAAGCATTACAGACAGACAGACAAACAGACTAATGTTTTTATTATATTAGAATGAAGGAATTATTTTTTCCATACAGAAAGCTTCAAATATCTAATGCCCTCTTACTGTTGTCACCAACTAATCTACACTGAAAAATATGCTTGTAATGACTTCATGGTTGACTTAGCAGTCAAGATTTTAAAAAAAGGTGTTCCATATTCTCTGCTGGCTTTTTCTTTTAGTAGACACACCTTCTCTATAGCATGTACTTCTCTTCACTTTAAATAGAGTGAGTTCCCCTCATTGACTTATTAACAGAATGAGCCTGATGCTCACAGAAGGGGATGTTGGTTGTAGCCATGTTGATCTGACATAAGCAGACAAGTTTCTTCGGGTAAATGAGAAGTCTTTTGCAAATATTTCAGGATTAACTGTGGGGCAGAGGATCAACTGAGTGGCTATATTGATTCAGAGTTGGTAAGCCCCCAGCTGCCAAGTAACAATTATTATTCATTTTTTTTCACAACTTTCTATTCAGTCACTGTCATTCTCATTTAAAATGAGACATCAGGAATAACCACGTAGGAAAAAGGAAACATTTAAGACCCTTTTTCACAGTGAATAATACTTTCTTCAGCCCCAGTTCAGCAAAGCAGTTAAAACAGCTTTCAAATTCATTAAAGTTAATGGGATTTAAGAATGTACCTAAAACTGAACATGTATTTAACTGCTTTGATGAACAGGGATCATTTGTCATATCAAGGTGTCATGAATAGCCTTGTTGGCTTCAGTGGGATTACTTGCAGGGTAAAGTGTGACAAGTACAGCTTAGGGTATAGGAATCTGGCACTTGGAGCTCTCACTTTTCAATATGAAAGATAATAAAACTTCTTTTACGTAACTATATGAAGGACTGTAAATAATTCATTACTTAATAGAAGTGTTTGCCTAGAAGTGATCATCTAAGAAGTGATGAGCCAAATGTTATTCATTACATTCACTTAAGATAGTCTCTTAAGTCAGGATGCTTTAAGAGGTGTTATCTGCAGATTTGAGCAGACTTTAAAGACATATCTTGGATTGTTTCCTCTTAAGAGGATTTTTTGTACTTATAAACTCTACAAGTAATTATTTGGTCTATGGGTTTTATTCATCATAAATGATCTCCTATCATTCTTGAACAAAACCCAGTGGAACAGACTTCTGTACTTTGCCCAGAAATACTTATTTTGTGGGATCACAGGAATCTGCATTTAGATACACTTATTCAATGTCATTTACGAGGGGTCGATAGGGGAAAAAGCCTTAATTCAGACAATTCTGCCTTTCCTCAGTTTCCTGAATGAATGGGTGAATGAATGAATGAATGAATGAATGAAGCCATGGACTGGATTGGGACAACCAGGGGAACTATTTTTTATTTCTGAAAGTTAAGTAAAATGAGAAAATAAAATTAATTTTGTTCTGTGGTCTTTTTTTTCAGTTCTCTAATGGTCCTGTCCCTGGCAGGAGGTTTGGGGGTCAGCTTGTCAGCCCAGGGCTGCTCTAACCCAGCTCAACGTGCTGCAGAGGAGTTGGCTGGGGCACGAGGGTGCTTTGGTGTGCAGCTAGCTGTCAGGGCTGGCTGAGTCATGAGAGTGCTTCAGAGCAGGAGCTGCCTGCCAGCTGGCAAAGTAAATAAGTCTGCTGTAGGATGGTACTTGTATCTGGCAGTACTAACCTACAGTGGAGTTATTAGTTTACTCAGGCCTAATAGCTCTGCATGCGTAGACTGGTGATGCTTTACTGTGGAGTTAATTAGGCAACTCCGCAGTAAGCATCTCATGTAGATGCGTCCCCTGTGTCACAAGTATTTGGGGACTTATTTACTACATTTTTAAAACAAATTGATTGTAGCACTGAATAACCAATGACACATCTCTTCCACCACAAACGTGGAAGCTCAGGAAGAAAAGCTGTGTCAGTGTTCTTGGCTGCAATTTATACCCTCACCATTCAGGCATGATGAATATGCTTGGTGTATTGGCTGCCTATATTAAGGCTCATCCTTTGGGATGTCTTGTTGCATACTCACAAGTTAACTAGATCTTTATTCTAGTGCCAGGTGATTAGGGCTCATGCTGGCAGCATATATACAACTGTAAACATCATTGCTTTGGTAGGAAATCGCTCAGCTGTAGTGCTGGCTGGGAAGCAAAAAATCGCAATAAATAAAATGAGATAAAAATCAGCAGAAGTTTTAGAAATGTTTTTGTTTGTTTTATTATAGAACATAGAATAGACCTTTCAAATAATAGATATTCAAAATTGTTTATGAAAAACATAAGAATTGGAGAGACTACTCCAGAATATGCAGTAGTATCCCAATGGCTAGAGCATGCAGTCAGACCATGGTAAATCCAGGTTCTAGTTCCTGCTTTGACTTCAGTTTGTCTTTCGGGTCACAGTTGAGTACTTTAACTCAGGGGTAAGCAATTATTTGGGCAGGAGAGCCACTTAACAAGTTTTGGTGAGCTGTTGCAGGCCACGCATATGCACACACACACTCACTCACACACATGTTCTCGCACTCATTTTCACTCTCACCCTCACACACATATATGAACTCCCCTTAGCCGGGCCAAGGCTGGCACCAGAGCATCAGGGGAAGCATGAGCCCACCCAGGGCTGTAGTTTCTTATCTCTGCTTCTCCCAGCCTTCCCCCCACCCCTACCATTCCCAGTTTGACTGACACCTGCAGACAAGAATGGGGTTGAGAGCCATGCTGCACCAAGGGTGGGGTCATGGCATTCACAACCCCACAGAGCTGGGCTGCAAGAGGGGAAAAATGCCCCCACCTCTTGCTCCCCCCCCACCCACTGTGCAGACCCCAACAGGGGAGGCCAGGGTGGGAGGGTCAGTTCCCCTCCTTGCCCACCCTCCCTGCCACATGGTGCCTGGCAGGCAGATGGGGCTCCAGCCTCTGCTGCACCATGAGGAAGGCTGGGTGGAAGTAGTCCTGCCCACCTACCCATCCCGCACCACAGGGTCAGACTCCATCTCCCAGAATGCCACGTGGTGCCAGGCAGGTGGGCAGGGCTGCTTGCACCCAGTGTCCCCTGCCATGTCAGTAGAGGCTGGAGCCGCTGCCCATGGGCAATCAATTGCTATCCTGCCCATGGATGGGTGGCAGCTTTTTGGCTTCAGCCTCTGCTGGTGCCACGGGCCAGATAGACTCAACTGGTGGGCCTGCAGGCCATATTTTGCTCACCCCTGCGTTAAATACTAGGCTGTTATGGGGTGGTGTCTTTCTGATCAGAAATTGCATGCTGGACTTTAAAAAGCTTCCTGATGAAAGTTTTGTTGAAATTAGTTATGATTCCACAAAAAGTTTGTTTCAATAATGTATCATTGTCTGTCCCCCAAAAAAGGTTTTGTTGCAAAATTTCTGATCAGTTCTACTCAGCTGTGAAATTACTCTCTTCCTGATCCACATCTCATTACATTCAAATACATGGATTCATGTTTGCCTAGATGTTTGATGGTGATTCAAAAAAGAGACTTGCTAAATCAGTGGTGCTCAACCTCTGGCATGCAGGCCAAATCTGACCTTTGGGGCTATGTCATCCAGCCCAGAGATCTCCCTATATGTTCAGAAATTTGGCAGTAGAGGAGTGATGATACTGTTAATTGCTGCAGTTCTGGAAGTGTCTCTGGAAGCTGCAGCAGTTAACACTGTCTGCGCTCTACTCCCTGACTGCTGAATTTTTGGACCTGTGGGGAGCCCAGCAGGCCAGATGACACAGCCCTGCATGCTGAATTGCACCAGCTTAGGGTGTTGCTCTATGATCAGATTCAGTACTAAGGGCTGGGTCAGCATGTGGTGTGGTGTGGTGTGGTGTTAGGGCAGTGCAGGGGTCAGTCCACAACCAGATCTGGTGCACAGGGCTCAGCCACCATGCTGGATCACAGCCTGACACCTTGGACTGACCCCACACTGGGTGGCCACTCATCCAGCCCATAGGACCAGAAGGTTGAACACCAGTATGCTAAATGACTGAAATGAGAACGATCAAATACTCCCAAGAAGGCAGCCTGCAATATTTGAACTTCATTATTCATTATATTCCTCCAATTAACATGTTTTCTTTATTGAATAGGAATCTGGTATGGAATTCTGGAAGGCATTGGAATTCTTTCTGTTATCACAAATGCATTTGTTATAGCTGTGACTTCAGACTTCATCCCTCGGCTAGTTTACGCTTACAAATATGGACCTTGCGCAGGCCAAGGAGAAGCTGGACAAAAGTGAGTTTTCTTTAAGAATAGCAACATGCATTAAAATCCCTGTTCCCTTGAAACACAGACAAATATAACATTGCTGTCTCCATGTTTACCAATTCCATTCATCAAAATGTTCGGGTAGGTACAGATTGCACATCCTTAATACAGTTTAATAGGTAACTGAAATTTATAGTCTTAACTTAAGAAAAAAAGTTCCAGATGGGTTATAGAGATTTCAGTGGATTCAGTAACAGTCAGTTACCATAATCAATATGTGAAATCTCAATTCTCAGCTGGCATAAATCGGTGAAGCTCCTTTGTAGTCATTAGACTACACTGATTTTCACCAACTGTGGATCGGACCTTTAATAGTTAGCTTATTCACAAAGCCTCCTTTCTCTTATATAGGCCTTTATGTACATTAATCCAAAAAAATGCAGACAAATAAGAGGAAGCAATTCTAGCATAATAGAGTGAGTTGTTATTTACCGCACAAAGTAATTGATTTTTTTTAAACACAGCTCTTATATTAGAATGTCTGAGACCAAAATCAGTTTCTTGCTGCTCCACCAGTGTTCACTCTACTGCACTAAAAGAAATGAGCTAAGCAAGCTAAGTGAAACATAGTAAGTTAGCCTGGATCCTGCTATCAGGCATATATTTCATTTTGTAGATTTATTTTCCTTTTCTGGTAAAGTAGTGAGAGGGTTCTTTTTTTGTTCTTGTTGTTGCTTTTTGCCATATTTGGATATGTAATCAGACTGTTGGGAAATGAGCAGTTGAAGTAAAAGTATGTGATTGGCACTGTTGCTAGCTTGTTATGCTGTCAAGAACTTGATATTTCTGTAGATGCCGAGAAGGAAAAAAAATTCTGTTTCCATAAACAGTTGTAAGGAATCCTTCAGTTGGTAAAGTGTTAGGTCTGATGTCAGTCATCGTTTGAGAGGTGCCTCCCTCTGCTGCCACTGAGAATACTCACAGGGTATTCATGCAATGTCAACTCTTCTGTTTTATAAATTTCTTTCATATTAAAGTAGCAGAAAATGCATTTTGAAATTACATTTTATAAGGAAGTAAATATAATGCTATTGCTCTCCAGCTAGTTTGGTTTAGACTTTAGAGGTACTGACTTTACTTAAGGAAACATATCTTAAATATACATTTTTCAACCTTTTAAACAATGTTTTGATAATCTTGCAGAGACTCTCTGAATAAACCACTTGTAAACCACACAATCTATTTTTTCCTAAAAGCCTTTATTTGGCAACATCAAAGACACTGATACTCAATTAGTGCCCCCACAAAAGTAGAGACCGTTCTAAAAGTCTACATGCATATCCAATTTCTGCAACTCAGAGGTCTGGAATATCTAGCACAAAGTCTCTTAGGGTTTGGGTTTTTTTATTCTTCCAAGAAAAATTATAAATTTAGCCCATATGACACCAATTGATGCTAAAAAATAGTATACTTAATGCCCTGGACACAGGTTGTGATGGTTGTGATTCAAAGCTAAGTTGTTAATAATCTTCAAACCCAAATTTCCCACTGAATTTAAGCTTATATTTAAAATAAATGCCAGTCTTATTGTTCATAAAGAAAACCATCCAAGTGAGAATTAGTGCAGTTCAGTCTTCCTGCATATTTGCCCAAACAAACTGAAATAATGATGTGGAGATGTGTGAGCCTTGCTGGCTTGGTAACTCTGAGCAGTAATGATGGCAATACATAGCACAGCCTATGATATAATGCTGGAAATGTCCTGAAATGAGTTTTCAAGAATCAAATCAGGTTTTCTAGGGCTGCTGACTACAGCAAACCAAAATCAATAGGATTTTGTATACTATATTTCAACAGAACATAGACTGGATGGGTGTCCTTGCCCCTGAAGACAGTATAGGTTGTAACAGGATTTTGTATTTCATGTTTTATTTCACGTTTTATCCCTTTCTGTACTGGAAAGCAAGTTTAAACATGATTCCTGTTTAGCACAGCTCTAGAGTAATGAAAGCAAAAGTAAGCTGGTTTTCCACATTTGTTTATTTTGTCCATGTCAAGTTTTATGGATGGTCTTTCCTTTGCTTTTACATGTGAAGCTGATTTGGATCAGATGTGTTGCATGCGTCTAGACACTTTGGGAAGGTGGCACATATGATGGAGATGTGTCTGAGAAAGTGTTGATATCTCTAGTTCTTTCTCACCTGATTGAAAGCCTCTTCAGCCTCATAGTGTTCAATAGTATACAAGTTTAACTGGACTTTTCCACATGTGCCTAGTGCAAAGTAGAGCAATCACAATACTATTAGGTTTATCCTGTTATACTACCACTGGAGTTGAACTAGCCAGCTCTCCCAGAGTTTCTTTGTTCCACATTATTGTTGACCCTGCAATTATAAGTTTGTGTTTCAGAGCCATAACAGAGCACACAACTTTGCACTCAAGGTCAGAGCACCATCTAGCCTGATATCTCCTGTCTTACAATGGCCAGAACCAGTTAACATTTTTGGAATAATTTGCCCAAAGGGCAGGATTGTTCCTGTTCACCATCATTTTTAGTGTAGGTCAGGAAGCAGAGCTCTGTGTCTCCTATTAAAAAAACCCCAAACCTTTATAGTATAGCTGTACATGTTCTCCCCCGAAAGAAGTGTCTAAACCTTGCTTAGATCTTAACAAGTTTTTAGCTTCAGTGATATCTGGTAGCAGTGAGTTCTGCAAGTTAACTCTGGACTGTATGAAAATGTATTTCCTTTATGAGCTTCAAATATATGCATTGCCTTTTGTTTTCATTTGTTCTTGTATTATGAAACTGTAAATAGGAGCCCTTATCTTCTGTCCCATTCATTATTTTGTGAATCTCTATTAAGTTAGCTTTCAGTCATCTAAGCTAACCACACTCTGTCCTTTCAACCTGTCCTGGTACCAAAGTCTGATGATGCTTCTAATAATTTTGTTGCCCATCTCTGAAACCATTTTAATTTTCATTATATTTTTTGAGATAGGAGTTCAAATCCTACTTCAATTTTAGATGGATAAGAACCATTTACACAGCTCAGTTGAGCAATGTAATTACAGGCAGTCTGCAAACTTAGAAAGACAATTGGTTCCTGAAAACTGCATCTTAAGTCAAAACATTGTACCTCAGAACTGATTTTCCCATAGGAAACAATGTTATAAATGAGGGAATTGGTTCCCGAACCAAGGCCCAATACCCTATTTTCACCAAAAATAACCCAGAATTTTGTATCCAATCAATTATAAATGAGCAATATAGCTACATTAATGTATTTATATTATAAATAACAATCATATTTGGAAGGACTTCTTTGAGGTGACTTTGCTGGACTTTTTGAAGGGCTCTTGGTTGGAGTCTTCTCAGGAGTCTTGGCTGCAGGTTTTTCTGGAGTCTTGTCTGGTTTCTTAAAAAAAGTGTCCAAGGAAGTTTGGACAGATGTTCTCTAGGGAGGTAGGCGACACAGCGAACTTGTTCGCTGGCATGGCATGGAGTCAGATCAAGCGTTGTAAAGTTGAAACAGGGTGTCAACTTATAAACGGTGTAAGTGTGAAGCATTGTAACTTGAAACATTGTAAGTCGAGGACTGCCTGTAGCATTTTGTGTATGTAAATTTTAGATTCTTCTCCTCTTGCAAAAAGAGATATACAGTAATATTTGTGTAATTTGCACAAAATGGAAGAAAGGGACACACTCCCATATGGGTGTCTGGTGCATCTTGAGTGCCCCCCCCCGACACCAGTCAGCAACCAGGGGGAGGGGGGGGCCCCAGTGGCCAATCCCGCTGAGTGGGGGGGAGGGAGGGGGAATCCCCCCATTGACCAATCTCACTCACCATGAAAGTGGCCATGGCCTTGGCCACTTCCAGTCATTTTCGCAGCCGATCTCACTCACCATGAAAGTTCTGTGGCCACTTCCGGAGGTGGCACAGCCACTTTTGCTCATGGCCCTGCTCCCTGGCCAGCGCTTGGAGGATGGGCATTGGTGCTCCCGCCTGCCCCCCTGCCCGCCAGCCAAACGGGGAGCGCAGCCTGGCAGGGGGTGCACCGGCACTCTCAAGGGGTGCACATGCACCCCCATGCACCCCCTACATATCACCCCTGCGCTCCCACTTTTAGCTCGCTAACCTAGTGATTAGGCCACTGGGGAGATTCAGATTCTACATTTGCCTTATCCACAGGGGGCTTGAATCTGCATCCCCCACTTCCCAGACAAGTGTCTTTGTCCCCAGGCCATGGGCTAGACATTACCAAGAGTACCCTTCCTGTTGAAGCTACCCCAGTAAGCAGCCACAAGGAGAAAATATGGGGCCAGAAGGGGAGCAGACCACAGGGGGAAAGAGCTCTGAGATGAATACTGCTCTGGAAGGGAGAGGCAGGGGCTTGGTTTCTGGCTTCTGCTTCTGTTCCCAATGTTTTTTCACCATTTTGTATTTAATAGTCATTGGATAATACAGCTAGACAGAAGTGGGATAGTTTCTGCCTCATGGTTAGAAAGCTGTTTTCCCCCAGTTGTGGTTTTTCAGCACCTAAATTTGGGAGGGGGGTGTTTAATTTTGTGTCTTGGGCCCAATCAACCAAATCACTTCCAAATTCTGTCAGGTGAGTAGAGCTCAATCATTCTAGTCTGTGTGGTGCTACTACCAGCAAGTATCCTACCTCCCAGATGCTTCAGTCTGGACTTCAGATGCTCCCAAATCCATGGCAGGCACCCTGTGTACAAGTCCCAAGCCCAGAGACCTTGGATTTCAGATGCCCCTAGTCTTGCTTGCCCCTAGCCAAAAGACCAAAGAAGCAAGCTAGAGGGAAAGCCTGTGAACAATCCCCCATCAACATAAATTGTGTAGCTGATATCTTCCCATTGAGAGGCCCTGTAGTAAACCCTTGCAGGGGGGTCTGCCCACAATGCAATGGACAGGTCTCCACCCTCTAGCTATACCTAGTCATTCAAGGCTGAGAAGAAAGGAATCTTCTCTGCCAGGTCAGTAAAACCACCTGGGCCAAAGCCATCATGGGCCATCCTCATGGTATTTGGACATGCACATGGCTACCAGGTAACATAAAATCACTACAGAGCATAAGTAGCTGGAGAAGATCTTTCTGATCATGTTCAGAAGGACAGGATGAGTTGTGCTAGAGCTAAATATGTGTAAATGCCCTAAAATGGCAACTTCTGGATAAAAATAGCTATCTAAGTGCTACTTGCCCACCTAAAGGTGGTTGAATTTGAGTCAGGGTCGCCATTTTTGCAGAATCACATCTGATGTATTAGTTGAGGGTGTGGGGGAGGACAGAAATGACATTGGCCACGAGGTATGTGATAGGTTACTAAATATAAAGTAATCTAAGTTGAATAAAGGGGGACTCTAAAGTCACTGCAATGTAAATACAGTCTGGGGGGAAGAAGAGTTGAGTTTTGTGAGAATGACCTTTGTACTAGGTCCCTCTGTCTTTTGAGTCAGTTGCATTTTAGGTGTGCTAATGGAGAGAGGAGTTGGTGTGAATCTGTTTTTAATTTTTTTTGTAAAGGTATGAAATGAAGTAAATTTGGGATGATGGGGAAAGAAATGACCCCAACATCCTTTTAAACATTATGTCACTGTTAAAGTGTAAAGTCTGGAAATCCAGACAAAAATGTTCTCCTGGGTGGGATTTGTTGTTAGAAAGGACTCAGCATTCTGAATGCAGTATTTCTTCCCTTTCAGATGTATGGTTGGCTATGTTAATGCCAGTTTATCAGTGTTTCTGGTGTCTGACTTTGAAAACCGTTCAGAACCAGCATCAAACGGAAGTGAATTCTCCGGTTCACCATTGAAATATTGCAGGTAAGGATCTCCTCAAATAAACCTTTTCTTTTAAGAAATCAGCAAATAGAAGCAATGTGATTCATTCTGGTCTTGGACTATCTTTCTGAATTAAAGAAATGAAATGAAAAAAAATGTATTTTTGAAAGTTCCCATGAAAGGAATGAAAGCAGCCATGACATCAGTTGTACTGTACAGGTAGGAGGAAGGCTTAATCTTTGGAGCCTGGAAATTGGCCAGGCTTCAAAAAGATACTCTACATCTGCATATAAATTACTTTTTTTTAAACAATACAACAAATGGTCACTATTATTGATAATAATTGCTTATCCTTTAATTTGTCTTGATAGGTTTGGGAGGAGATTTCATACAAGCCTAGGGTCTAACTCCAACTGTAATGCTATCTAGCTCACTCTAAATGAAGGATTAAATTGCAGATGTGTATGGACCCTCTAAACCCCCTTAAGCCTTATTGTGCTGGTTTAAGTGGTGCATAAACCTTATTGAGGCTTTGTGAACAGGAGTGAATTTCACTTGAACTTGCAATAAGTCACATCCATACCCCATCGGTCCTAGACCTTATGTGGGAGCTGATTGTTATAGCTATTTGCCACACCAGCTAGAGCTGTCCTTTGGCATCCCAGGCTGCTTTGTGGGTCCCCACTAACCCCTCCTTACAGGATGTCATGCTAGCCTCCGTTGCACTTATCTGCTCCAGCTGAGTGGGCTCTCACAGAGCTAGCTACAAGGAGGAGTCAGGGTTCGGGGGCAGCATGAGCTGCCAGCAGCAGCTGCATGGTGTAGGGGGGAGCTGTCCTTAGCCGGACACAGTCCCAGCCTGAGCTAGCACAGATAGGGAGGGCCCACATTGTGAGGGCTTCTCCCCACCACTGCCCAGACTGGCTTCCCAGAGCTGGTCCTCCCCCCAAGCTCTGCCCCCCTGCAAGCGGCTGGCTGCCAGTGGTGGGGGGAAGGGAGGGGAGGGAGCAGAAGCCTCAGCCCCAGCCTCACCGCTTCCAAACTCAAGCCAGCACAGCTAGAGGGGAGTGCATGGTGGGGGCTCCCCTCCTCCCCACACTGCCCATCCTGGCTGGCCAGTGTGGCTTCTCTTCCCCACCCTGCCCCGCCCCGCCCGGGCAGCTGTCAAGAGAAGTGGGGGGAAAGGGGGAACAGAGGACCCCATTGTGTGGACCCAGCCCCCCAAACCCAATCCAGCACAGCTGGGGAGTCTGCATGGAGGGGGCCTTCATTCCCTCTGCCCCCCGCTGCCACTGCCAGCCAGCCACTTGCAGGGGGAGGGGGAAGGAGCTGGGGAAAGGAGTCACTCTGACCAGCCAGACCAGGCAGTGGGGAAGGGAAGCCCACCCCCCAGCTGTGCTGGCTCAGGTCTGGGGGGGCAGGGTTGGGGCTGGACTGGCATCTCCACTTTCCCCCATCACCACCGCTGACAGCCTGCCACTAGCAGGGGGTGGGGCTGGGGAGAGGGGCCATGCTGGCCAATCAGGGGTGGCCAGCTGCTTGGCGGCTCAGCTGGGCTTGGCATCGTCTGGCATCCTGCTGGGAGGTGTGTGGGAGCGCCCCCAACCTGCTGGCCTTGGGCAGTGCCGGCAGCCTGCACACCTCCCCGTTGAAGGATGAACATCTGTTCTGTTCATTCCCCACCTAATCTAGGGCACTTAAAGTAAAGTGCAAAACTTAAACTGCCTCTGCCTTGGGCTTTTTGAATGTCTATACTTAGCTTTTGGTCCAAATTGTTAGCCATGGTATTTTGAATAAAATTTCTTGTCTCTGACCATAGAACATCAGTAGGTGAACAGATTAATATAGAGTTTGCTTTTGATATCTTAAAAAAGCAGGAAACATGCAATGTATTGTTTTCATTCAGATAAGTCGCAATCCTACATCCTTTGTAGACAGAACCTTTCTTCACTTGGAGTTTTCCCTGTGTAAGCACTAGATGGAGGCATCAGGATTTGGCCTGAAATGATGTAAATCCTACTAACACAGCTGGAACAGTATTCTAATATTTTAAAAGCCTATGTCTGTCTGTCTAGCTGGCCGTAATGCTTTATTCACACTCTGATTGGCTCATGGAAACAGCCAATCAGAGTGCTCCAAGCATGAGAGAGCACCACCATGATTCTGAAGCTGCTCCAAGGACTGGACAGAGGGTGGCCTCGGCTCCCCCACCCCACTCTGTGCAAGAGGCAGAACAGAAGCAGCATGGGGCGTTAGGTGGCGGCACTCCAACCCAGCCCCCTCCCCCGCCCCATCATTCTTGATGGGCAGTTGGCTAGTATAGTAATAATAGCAAAGTATACCAATATATTATCTTTTCTTCCACTTTTGTCCTTCCAGCCTTGGGTTTTGGGACTCTATGACAGTACTAAAAATAAAGTTGTTATCATGATCAAAAATATGAGACATGGAACCAGGCCCTCCATTAAATAAAAAATCATTGTACATCATAAAGATGGGGCGGTGGGAGCCAACAACAATACAGAAAGGGACTCTAGACTCACTGGTAGACTTTGATTGTGATTTCAGTAAAAGTAGGTGCAAGCCCTGTGTTATTGTATGTGTGGGTTAATTCAAAATGCTGCTGAAAGATCTTTGGATATATCTATGTGGTTTCTAGAGTATGTTTACTTATTGAATATACCCATTTCTGTTTGTGGAATTCAGAGAGTGACTGACTTCCTTCTAATGAATTCACCAGACACTTAACAAGCCTGAATTTTGCTGAAACACTTGGTAATTGTAACTTCAGTTTAAAGAAAGATATTGAAAGGGATGCAAATTAGTTTTTAATAATTTCTAAAGAGACTACAGGACTCCATATCAACGTATGATTTGTGTGATGTGAGAGCAAGCTTTTAAGCTTTCAGTAGGGTAGTGTTGGTGGACAAAATCTGTTAATAATTTACCATTACTATTACTGAGATGATTTTTTTCTGCTGCGGGAGAGATACCATGCTGATTGTATGGAAGTTTTTTCTCCAGCAAATATGAGAAACTTGATGTACTTTTCTACCTAGATTTTCTAGCCAGGTGCTTCTGTTGCAGTCCTTTAAAATTCTGCTTATAAACAGTTTTCATCTGAAGAATCAATGTTTTGTCTGCATATGGGAATTAGCTGGCAGCAAAAACAATTCCTACTGATGTTACTGGAATATAAGAATTCAGTGCTGACTAAAATCCCTAGCCTACTTATTTTGTGTCAAGTGTCCTCTTGAATCTGAAAAGTCTATCCATTAGATGGAAATGCAGATTGCCCATCATAGAGATATAATCTACATTTCAATTTATTTCTTCTGTGCAAGTAGCTTTTTTCAGTTCTTTAAACTTGTTTAGAGATTATGTGTAAGAGTGTTATTTAATGTGACATTTCCTGATATTGTTTTATAACTAGTTTTCAATCCTGCGCAGGAAACAGATTAGGCAGAAGCCAAATTTCCCTTCACTTTCAGATTAAGTTTGTGTCAAATTGCTTTGGAATTGTCATTTTACTTATGAAATCAGACTCCAGAAAGAGTGAGTTTTTCCATAGATGAGTGTATCTGATATATTACAGGCTTCGAATGGGTTTATAGTTATCTTAGGTCTACCTATTCTTCCATAAAACTCTGTTAATTTTTTTGTTAAGTGTTTATGTTTTCAAAAGACATTACTTAAAACAACAGAGCTGATTCCCTTACATGGATTTGCACTGGGCAGGTAACATTCCTAAGTGAGAATCTGGTCCTCTTGGCAGTCAATAGCAAGACTTGCATTGATTATTTTTTCAATTGAGTTATACGTGATTTACACTGGGAAGTGAAGTAGAGAACTGGGCCAATGTTTTTATAATTTAGAGCTCCTAACATTGAGATCATTATAGAAAAAAGAATAGCGAGCAAAATTATTATTATATAGCGTTTTATCATATCACTAAAATATGATGTTCTCTTTGTTTTTCAGGTACAGAGACTATCGAGACCCTCCTCATGCCCCAGTGCCCTATGGCTACACACTGCAATTCTGGCATGTTTTAGCAGCACGATTGGCTTTTATTATAGTATTTGAGGTCAGTTATCATTCCAGGGCAAGTGTACTTGTTAAAAAATTATCTCTATTTGAGGCTTTTTCACAGCCCTGATCCTGGATAGCAATCCTGGAGCTTTAGCTGATAGGTTCAAGTGTTTCTGTCTTGCTTTGAATTTCCCAGTCTTGTATTTCTAAATAGCTACATATACTGAAAGTTTACCTAATGTGCTTTACTGGTGACCTATAATGGCAGAGTGAAGATGGGTTGAAAATAGGCTTGGAGCCTTTTTTGTTCCTTTAATGATATGCAAAGAGTGTGGCATGGATCTGATCTCATCTGGTTTTGGAAACTAATCATCCCTATGTTTCACTGGTGCTTAAGCAAGAGACCACTGTGAAATCCCAGTTGTCATAGACACAAATCAGTGATTTGTGGGTGAACACTTGGTGAATTCTAGATCATGGAAACTAAGTGAATGCAAGATTTCACTTAGCCCTATCATAACAGATGGATGGAATAATAGGAAGGAATACATTGAAAAGAAGGCTTAGAAGATTTTTTTCTTTCTTGTTTAGACCCAGAAGAGTTTTTAAGGTTCATTCTTTTGTTTATTCTTCCCCCCCACTCTTTTTTTTAATATTTAGGCTGCAGGACTTTGTGATGACAGTGGAATAAGCATAGTGTAACATCATAAGAATTGAGAAGGTGAAATCTGAGCAACTGAAAAAAGAAAACAGTTTTATTAGAATGTTTAAAACCCTTGGCTTTTCCTATTTTTTAAATTATAGTTAAAACCTATTTTACTCCATAAATATATTAACCATTGGGATAAAGGAAGTTTTCATTACAGATTCAGTGTCTTTGCCACTACAATTAAAAAGTACAGACTCAGAATGCTTTCTGCAAAGCGCTCTCAGTTACAGTGGGAAGCTGCACTTCTGTCTGCCCCCGGAAGTGTAGTGTTCTGACAATTATCCTAGAGAAGACCCAGAGATCTGTTGGCCAAACCAGCAAAGAGTAAATTTGATGTATTTGATATTTCAATGATGCAAGAGAAATATAACAAAGTGATAGTTATCTAAATCCTGGAATCTGAGCATTCAGAATCCCTAAAAATTGGGTTATGTGGTCCTGGGCAAAAGACAATGCAAGCCCAAGTTAAAAATAACTTTGATTAGCCCCTATAAACACTGCCATTGTACTATAGCAAAGCAGTTCAAAAGTACTATATCTAGCTTAGAAAGTGATATATAATTATTATAGATTTTTGATATATTCCTTATCAAGTGACTCAAATTACCAGTTTATGTATTTACTGCATTGACATTTTATTTTGGACTGGACTTTTGCAACATTTCTCTGGATTATAGAATTAAACTATTTGAATTGGAATGAAGCTTATTTTCATTTTATATAATGGGAGACAGTCTCCCCCCAATTTATTTCTTAACTGAAACTATATTATCTTGGCTGGAACCGATTGGCTTCTGTGAACTTTAATAAATGCAGTCTCCAGACCTGCCTGGGTCAAGTTGGAGCACTGCATTGGACGCTGGAAGCTGTAGCTCCTTTGAGCTTTGTTTTTTTACCAATATTGACCATTTCTGTAGGGTATCACTCCATTCCATTGAATTTTGCCTCAACCACATTCAGGGGGGAAAAAGATTGGTAGAACCCTGCTACATAACACCTCTTCTGTTTCCACTATCATTGCTATGAACTGTAGTATCTGCGTGTGAACAGGAACATAGGAATAGCCCAACCAAATTGCTGTAATAAATATAAGGAGAAAGTGGGGTTTCTTTGCCATAACAGGGGCATTTAACAGAATGGACAGGATGGAAGAAGGCACAAAAATGGGTGAACAAGGATAAGTAAAACTCTGGTCAACCCTTCAACTCTTGGCCATATTTGTTACAAGTTACTAGAATAGTTTGTTTTAAAACAGCATTTGTTTAAACCTTTGTTTGTGGACCTGACAGCAGGCAGTGTTTTATCCTGACTCAAGCCTTAGACTGGTGCGTTACTGTCAGCCTGTAGTGCTTTCTACTTGTCACAGTTTGATATTAATACCGCAGAGAGTCCCAAATTATGTCAGTATGACTCAAACTGTGGTCCATAATGCATTTAATCACAGTCAGCTGAAAACCTGCTGGTCACAAGGTACCAGCTTTTCTTCTTTATTTCCAGGTACCAAACAGGATTCAACATTTGTATAATACCATTTCTCTATGTAAATCAACAAGTGTAGTTGCCAAAGAGAAGGGAAGTGATTCACACAGCTGTGAATGGCGGTAGAAATGACCAAGAAACTGTCTCAATGAAGATGTGGTCCCTATAAATAAATCTCTGGGGAATCATTGGCATAATAGATTTGGCCAGTCCTCTCCATTTTCTGTCCAGGGAACTATGACAGGTTGTACACTCAAAACTCTGGCTATGTTAAGAGGGCACAATATAGTGCTAGGCTCTCTGTGGTTGAGCTAGCTGAGCTCATGGAAGAGGTCTAACTACATTAGTGTGGCACTTAACCTGGGCAAATTAGCCCTGCACCCAACTTAGTTTATTCTGCTTACCATTGCACAGTATCATGTAGGCATACCCTGCACGATATAATCTACTCCTGAGCAGGTATGCCTGCAATTTTTCTAGGATCCAGTGATATAGTAAATGTGGTTAGTCAGCCTGGTAGAAGCAGATATGTGGGCCCAAACTAAATCTTGTTCCTTGTGTAACCAATTTGAGGTGATCATATTTCAAAGTCATGATTAAGAGGTTGTTGTATGGATGAGGAAACCTATGGGGAAAATTCCCATATGGATCTGAGAAAGTACAGGGAGCAAAAAGTAAGGAAGAAAGAAAAAATTACAGCCAACCAGGATCCTCAGATTATTAACTGGTTTGGAGACATCTGACATAAAACCTGCTTGAGGCATGAACATGGCCTTCAGCCTTCTCTTTAGAAAGCATATAATAAACTTAAGGTGCTCTCAGGAAAAATGACAATTTCAGTAGAGATAAGTGAATAAAGGTAGCTTTGTCACTGAGTTAATAATTACTGTAGCTGATACTTCACTCCGAACCTAGAATCTGTGAGCATATCTACACATTCATTAATGCACCATAGT